TACTCCAACACTGGAGGTTTTTAAGAAGAGATTGGACAACCATTTGTCTGGACAACCATGTAGGGTTTCCTGCCTGAGAAAGGGGTTGGACCAGAAGATCTCCAAGTTCCCTTCCACCTCTGTTATTTTGTTATGTTTCAGTGCAGCAACCTATTATTACACAGTTTTGATTTAGAGATAAATTTAATAATCTGCATCTAACATAGAAGACAGCGATACCCTTTATCTTGCTTGCCAAACGTATTCCATTGCAGCATGGGAACAGTTTCATATAGCTTCATGGCTGTTTCTTAATGCTTAAGCAAACGGAGACCTATACCATGCAGCACATAGAATTATTTCTACTTGGTATAACTCCCAACTGACTGCCTAGGCTGGCATGGCCAGTGGTGAGGGATGCAGCACTGTGCATCTCTGCAGAATCCTAGGGTCCACTGCAGTGGCTGCATACTCAGCAAACCCTTGCAAGGAGAAACAGTGAGTCATTGCTAAGCTGTAATACATGGTTTACAAATCACCCTGATAGAGTACATACATTGTACTCTGCCTTGAGCTGACTTCTGCCATTTTGGTTTAAGACATTAGAGCTTGTTGAATAAACCAGTTGTAGACAAGTACTGCCTTAGTGTAGAAAAGGGTAACATGTCATTGTCCGAAACAACGCTATAGTCTTCTACTAATTTTGAGGGGGAGTGTAATCCCTACAACAGACTTTGGCCAATAAAGAAAAAAAATCACAAACTGCTGTAAAGTCAGAAGGAATGGCCTTCAGGAACAGGAAGAAGAGCTGCTACCAAGCCAACAGTCACATAAAAGATGACAGAGCCCAGGGTAGTAATGGAACCTAAGCAAATATTTCAGACAAGACCTTCTCAAAAATAAAAATAAAAAGAGAAGAGAAGGGAAGCTCATTCAGCCTCGAAAGATTCTGTTATTGTAGCTTTGTAATAGAAATAGCAGTGTAGGAGATGACCAGACTGAGCCCGAGGGAGAGGTCAAAGATGTCATCAGTCATGAGTCTCTTCACACCCACAAAGAGATCTAATTCCAGCCTTCTACTCTTACCTACCGCCAACTTACTTGGGTCGTTAGTAGTTCAGATTCTTGCAGAGAGCTGAAGCTTGCAATAAATCTTTATACCAGGGGTGAAATCTACTTACCTTCCTTACCAGTTCAGAAGTGGATGCACCGCGCACATCACATACACGCACAGACCCTCTATGCATGCGCAAAACCTTCTGCATATGCACAGAGGGTAAAAAACACATTACTTCCTGGTTAAAAACAGGAAGTAACGACACTTGGGTGGGTGGGCAGAGCCTTGCACCACCATTGCTACCGGTTCTTCGAACCACTTGCCACAATCGCTACCAGATCGCCCAATCTGGTCCGAACCAGGAGCATTTCATCCCTGCTTTATACCCATTTGAACAGCCTGGATCTCCTGATTTCCCTGGCGCTTGACAAGCAGTGACCTAATCTAATCTACCCTGAAGGCTTGGCAACCCAAATCTGGGCAGGAAATGGTAAATTCTGATTCTTCCTCCATGCATAAATCATTCATATCCATTTGGCATTATTGCTAGAGCCACTGCATTTAAACTCATCAAAGGTATTAAAGGTAGTCAATGGCAACCAAAAGATTGCCTAATATTGGTTTAGCATGGTATGTAAATCCAGCCCTTGGACCCGGGAAGCTTCTCCAAGTACTGTACCAACACAATTGTAATCAGGTCTATATTTATCTTTCAATAAGTTTCAAATGATAATTAGCATCCCTTATTACAAATAATAACTATTTAGGACTATGGCATTAAAAACCATAGGCAGCACCCTGTTGCTGACTTAGGGTGCTCTCCAAAACTCAACAAGGCCAACTTTGATTGTCCTTAGATAGAGGACCACTTGGAAATCCCAGACTTACAGATAAGAAACATTCCACGAGAAGGCAGAGCTACCACGAAAACTGCATAGATCTTAAGCATTAACTCAAAAGCATTTCTATCTTCTGTAAAAACCAAAACAATATATGTCCCTCTATGACTGGACTCTACCAAAACATGAATATATGGGTGTTAATCATGATAAAATTAAGTCCTCTTGAAAATTAACTTTGCACAATGGGTTTCAAGAGCTCTTAATCCACTATTTTAAAAAGCATTTCCCTCCTTGTTGCAGGGAGCAGATATTATTCAACATCAAAAATTATTGCGTTGGGGGGCTGCTTTCAAAGTTATTTGGATCCAAAAATTACAGTACATAAACTTGTTCATTAAAAAACCAAGAAAGGAAGGGAGGAGAGTAGGTCTTGCTGAAAGACAGAACCTGAAATGGCCAAGGATGACTTTATATCAAAATAGGCAAAAAAGCTACGACAAAGAACAAAAAGAAAGAATGCTTTTCAATATCATACAGGGTTAAACGGTGGGAGTCTAATACTTTAGACACCTCGTTCTTCTCCTAGATAACTTAATGTTACACTAATTTAAATGAAGGAACAGAGGCTGACCCCAGACAACACAGTAACTAGATCTAGTTTAATGCATGACAGCCTGCATTACATTCCTAAGTTAAATAAGATTTGATTAAGTGTGGTTCGCGGGGGTCTACTGAAGTAGAACATATTAATTTAAAAGAATGTTTTCAGTAAGATGTCTGAGAGATAAAAATTTCAAAGCGTCCTTAATACGAAAAAAAGAAGATATAACACAGAACACATTACTGGCCTAATGATATTTCTTGTTGAAGTACAGTATCTGTAACTGGAAAACAGGGCCAAACAGTGTTTTCAAATGCACACACTCTAACGTTTGACAAAAACACAGAAGTTACTCCAATGTTCCCATGCACATTAGGGACAAGGGGGTCAGGGCAAACAACCATATGCCAACTCCAATACACTTGGTTCCATGCCCAAGATAGAAAGTATACTTGTTCTTTCAAGTATGACATTGTGTTGGAAGACTTCCATCAACAGCTCTCTTTCTCTCTCACCCTCTTCCCCCCCTCCGCCCCCGACAGCACCATCTGTGCTCTCAGGCTATGATTTCTGCATGTGACATATGTGCAGGTGGTAAATAGTACAGACCTATTTACATGTAGCACTGGATTAGGCATCAGCTAAATTATTGCACTTCATGCAAATAAGCCATGAAGAACCACCTGAATTAGCAGTTCCTTGCTTACTAAGGGATAAATGCTTTTGAATGACATGCTAGCCAACTAGCTATTAACTCAGTAAGTGTAATAATGGTTGTTTTTGTGTAATTGGCATCTTATGCCCTCCTAGAATTATGTTCCAATATGAATCTACCTTCCTTTTTAAAATAACCTATTTCTTGCCAATTACCAATTGGTCATACCAATTAAAATACAACCAATGAACCCAATAATGTAAAAATTAAAATGACACCACTGAAAGGAAAAAAAAGATGTCTATTCATGCAACTAACATGCCATGCTGGGAGCAGTGATTTCACCTAGCAGAGGAACAGTTTAGAAGGGGAGCATTTTCTATTCCACAGAAACCTCAGAACAGCTTCTACGGAAACCACAAATACCTACAAGCATGTAGAGAGATCTCAGCTTTTTAGAGGAATCCAACTCTGTAACCTTACCAGTGCCCTGGGACTTTTACAATTCTGAATGCAGAAGTCCTTTTTAAGATCATTGCATTCCATTAGAAACCACATCAAAAGCAAAGAAAGGATGGAATTTTTTTTTTAACCACAGAATCATGTACCAGGAAGTATGTGTTGACATGGAGGGAAGGGTTGTTTCTGTCCTTTAGCATTTTTTTTCCCCCAGAATGAATTTTCCAACCAGAACAGTAAAGAATCCAATGTAGAACATTGGTTTTCATTTTAATACAAAAAGAAATACGTTATTTTAAAAAAAAATATACTCCCACATACAAATCACCTGTACTCTTACATAAGCTATCTTTTCCCACCCCTTTTTAAGGACAAAATCTATTTCTCCCCTATTTGGATATTACAAAGGAGAGGGCAGAGGAGAGGCAAAAAAGGCACAGAGAAGGAAGACAACCAATCTTAATTTTAAATAAAGGGATGGTGTTTCCTCCCCAGGAATACCTGATAAGAGAGCAAGTAAAGCTTCAGACCAATGCAGTGGATAATTAGCCAGGTAGAAGGAAGAAGCTAAACGCTGTTCTTTGCCTATAAAAACTGGAATTCTTTTGAAGCAAACCTACAAGTACACCATACTAAAAACGAGCTCTAAAAGAGGAGATCAGAGTTGCTGCTTTCTCGCTTGTTTGGCAAATTAGCCTGTTCTTTATGGTTCGCTCCCCCCTTTTCCCAGGGAAACTCATACACACCCGCGAGTCGCTCACACACACACGGACACATTCTCTTCTCGCCCCAGGAAATATGGTTTTCAATCAAGTCTCCACAGCAAGAAAGAAAAAAAAGGGGGGGGGGAAGCCGCGAAGGAGTTTAGGTGGAACTGGGTTATATATTCTTTTTGGCAATTACGAAACGATCAATGCCGAGGCAGGAGAGAAAGCAAGACAGCCAAGCGCTGGGCGGCAGAATCGGAAGAATCCAAGGAAGATACAGTAGATTTATTCGGTTAGGTTTTTTAAAAAAAAAAAACAAAAAAAACAAAAAAAACAAAAACAGAATTTGCTTCAAGGTGAAAAAGACACCCGCCGATAAACAGGTCTGAAGAGCGGAGGGAGGGAGGGAGGGAGGGGGGGCGTCCCGGGTGAGAAGTGCGAGCGAGGAAAGGTACACAAAACCCTGCAACAGGTGATCGCCACTCCGCAAAGCACACAAAGGAAACCGAGCAGGCATCGCTGCCAGACGCGGCCGAGCGGCGGTGGAAGAAGAGTGCACCAAAGTCCCGCCACGGCCAAAAGGACTCCGGCGCAGCCCGGGACGCGACGGGAAGTTGCTCCAAACGCCACGGGCGCGGCACAGCCCGATGCCCGAGCCCGACCCCTGTTCCCTCTTCCCGAAGACGATCGCCTCGCTAACCTTGTAGACATTCTCGGTGACCCTGTGCACCTCTTCCGAGCGCGACATGACGGTGCTGGGGGCTCCAGGAAACACCATAGACCGGTCAGGACGCAGGGCTCCACGGAAAGCGCGGGAGAGCGACGGCCGCCACCACAGCTAAGATCCGTGGACGTTGCAGGCGAAGCGACTGGGAGAGGCGCGACGCTTTATATCGCCTCTCAGGGCCGGGCGCATCCTGCCCCCCCTCCCACCCCCCAGCAGACGCCTCCGCCTCCACCCGCCCCCAGCTCCGCCTGCTCCGCGTTGCTCTGCCTTGGCGGTTGCCTCAAGGAGCGCCGCCTGGGAAAAGCAGGCAGGCAGGCAGGCAGGCAGGCAGGAGGCGAAGCGGAGTCAGAGAGGAGGCTGGCGGGCGGGCGGGCGGACGGACGGGAGTCAGGCAATACCCACACGCGCGCACCGCGGCGCGCCGCCCACCTTCACCCGCCGCCCACAGCTCAGTCAGACCTCAGGCGCTCCGGTAGCTTTCTTGCGCGCCGCCTCACGCCAAGAAGTCGAAAGAAAAGAAAAGAAAAGAAAAAAGAAAAGAAAAGAAAAGAAAAGAGAAATAATGAAATGAAATGAAATGAAGAAAAGAAAAGAAAAGAAAAGAAAAGAAAAGAAAAGAAAAGAGGAAGGGAAGGGAAGGGAAGGGAAGAAGGAAGGAAAGAAAGAAAGAAAAAGAAAGAAAGAAAGAAGAAGAAAGAAAGAGAAAGGAAGGAAGGCAGGAAGGGAGGGAGGGAGGGCCGAAGGACCACGTAATCTCTCTTGCCCGCCCACGAACGAGAAAGTAAGAAAGTATGCGGAATAATTTCGTCCCGTCACTGGCGCCCTTGCCTAACGGAGGGTGAAAGAGGGCTTCGCTCCTCATGCATAATGTATACTCGGACGACTTCTGAGGAATGTTCACGCTAAATAACCTGTGATTGCAGCCTTTTTCGTGCAACCCAGAATAGGGTCAGCTGCTCACTCACCCACACAACCACACCCACACAGGCTGGTTAACTTCTTAGTGTTGTGCTAGCAGCCGAATCTGATCCAGAGTGGATGTATACTTGAAACTTCAACGGGCCCTTCTAAAGGCCTTGGTTGAATCCGTCCATTGCTTCCGTGTATCTCAATGGGATGGACAACTGAATGCATATTTGGAGAACAGGAGTATATTTTCACCCTTGGTCCAGTGGCAGGAGGCTTTGGGGGGGCAGGATAGGGAGGAATAGATTCGGGAACAACCCAAGGAAAACTGAGTGGTTGTGGTTATTTGGACCATCTGGTCCAGATTGTCCCTCTGTTTGGAAGTGTTCAACTTTGCTGGACTTGTGTACTTGTCACAGAAAAGCAGGGTGTAGCTTTGGCCAGGAGATCTTTGCACAGAGCTCTCTTATGTATCAATTGCACTCATTCTTGGACCTGGAGGCCCACGGCCATATCAGAAGCTACCCCTCTGAAACTGGAGCTGGTCCAGAATGCACAGGAAATGATGGATATGCCACAATGATGTAATTCCTCTGCTTCATGAGCTTCAATGGTTACTAGCTGGCTGTCAGATACAATTCAAAATAGTGATGATCAGCTCTAAAACTCTTCATGGCAAGGGGCTTTTTGTTATCCAAGGGACCATTTATCTCCTGTAGCTTCTGCCTGCCCTTACTGTCAAACAGAATTAGCATGTGCCGGAGTCCCTCCATTAAACAATTCCATTCAATGGAGTCCAGGTAGCAGCATTTCCACAGAGATCCACACGGTCCCTACCTACCTTTTCCACCAGCTGGGCCTCTTAATGGAATAGTTTATCTTTAGGTTGGGTATTTTAGTGCACCTTCCTTCCTCTTTATATTGTTTTTGACTGTTTTCAGTATTATACGCCACCCAGAATCATTATAGGGCCCCATGACCTTAGATATTTGGTAAATAAATAAATTACCCCTCTCCGCTATCACTTCCCAGCATTCGGTATTACAGCAAGCTGTGATTCAAAAGGTAATAAACAGTCATCAGCATTAGTAGTCACTGATTATCTAATCTTGTGAACCTGAGCCATCCCATCTAAACTGGTTGCTGTTACTACAAGTGCTGGCAGTGAATTCCAGAATTTAACTATGCACTGTAACAAAGTAGTTTGCTGGCCCCATGTTTTTCTGCCTTCAATTCAGAAGCTGGTTTTGAATTATTATATTGTGAATGAAGAAGAAAAATTCACAACATCTTACATGCTTGTCTCCCCTCACCCTGCATGCTTATTTCCTTGATTCAAGGCCAAACAGCCCTGGCTGGTGATTGCTGTAGTCTTTTCTCGTAAGGGAGCTGCTTCGCTCTGTTAATCAGTTTGGTTGTCATTTTTGCAGCTTTTCAAACTCTATAACATCATTTTGGATTGCTAACTTGAACTGCCTACGATTCTTCAAATGTGTTCTGGACACATAAATGTATTAGAACATTATTATATTGAAAGTTCTATTCTCAATTCCAATTTCAAACACGGAATTGTGTTCTTTTATGGGGTTTGTGTGTGTGTGCGTGTGTGGTTTTTTTTTTTTACAGGAGCTGCACAGTGGGTTGACTTTTTCATTGAATTGTCTGCCATGAGTCTAAGATCCCTTTCCTGGCCAACCATTACCAGCTCAGGTCTCATTAATGAAATATGGATTTTTTTTTTATTCTAACATATGTCACTGTATACTTATTTACAGTGAACTGTCCTTGCCATTTTGAAGTTAATTCATCACATTTGGCAAGATTCTTAACAATCCATTTTTTATTTTACCACCTTAAGCAGTTTGGTTTCATCAGCAAAGCAGCCTTATTGCTCAACTGCAGGTAATTTATAGGCAGATTAAAAAGAATAGTACCAACAATAAAGGACCTCATGTTACACACACTTTACCAGTGTGAGAATTGTCCATTTATTCTTCTTTACTTGTCCAATCAATCAATCAGATTTGGTAAATGGCCAAAGGTACAAGTATAGATTAGGCGAAACCTGGCTCAAAAACAGTAATGGACCTTGGAGTCTAAGTGGATGATCACTTAAATATAAACCAGCAGCAGCCAAAAAAAATTTAATTGGTTGCCAGTTTCCTCTGGAATCCTTGGTGGGAGACTTTGTCAAAGGAGCCTTGAAACTCTTAAGTAGAAAATACTGGGTTATTCTTGTCTATGTACTTGTTGATTTCTTCAAACTAAAAGGGAAGTGAGACTTGACTTACTTTTGTGGAAGCTATGTTAAGTTTCTTTTCAACAAGACTCCTTCTTCTAGTTATATGATTATTTCATCTTTAATAATATCAGCAATTTTCTCCAGATGTTAAGTTTCTTACATTGCCCCTAAGTCCATTTTTAAAAATTGTGATCCCAATAGCTATTTTCCTTTTTCAAGGATAAACGCAAAGATTAAATGGAAGATTTATATTTTAGCAAAAAGATCAGCAATTTCATATCTAAGTTCTTCAAACTCTTGGGTGAGCCTAAAGATTTATTTTTAGTTGGTTAATTTGACTTATAATTTCGGCACTCATTACCTCTATTTATCTCAGTTTGTCCTATATTTTTCTTGAAAAAGCTGGTTCAGGCATCGGTATTTGTATTAGATCCTTAGCAATGAAGAGAGTAACGTGAACTCATTCTTGGCATTTTTCCCGAAGTCCCTCAAAATATGTCACTGAACATGGAAGGAAAAGGAGAATTGCTGAGATGGCTACATTGTTTATAACACCAAAGATGCTGTCTTTTAGGCTTTTAAATATTTTTTTTTTTTTATTGTGGAATGTTTTGGTATTTGTTTTCTAGGTTTTTTTTTTACTGTACTCTGCCCAGAGTGAAATTTGTGAGATCGGCAGCTATATAAATTTGATAACTGAATGAGTGAAGAATTAGTTCCATTTCACCAATATTTCCCTACCTTCCAGCCAGTCTAGTGTAATGGTTAAGGCCCTGGACTAGGACTAAGGAAACCCACGTTGAAGTCTACCCACACCCATGAAAATTGTGAATCAGTGACTATGGGTCACTCAGCTATTCCCAACCCAAGCTACACTATAGAATAACAGAATAACAGAGCTGGAAAGGATCTTGAAGGATTAAGGCATGTCAAATTTTTCAATTTCCAAACATTAGGAGTGCTCAAAGGTTGTGACATGCCTTGGGGATTGTAAAGGTATTTTGGTTACTTTAATATAATTTAGATGTGCATGGTAAGGAACTATATAAATATCATAACTTTTTAACATTTTCTTTCCATTTGATCTTCTAATCCGACCCCTTGCTCAAGCAGGAAACCCTACACCATTTCAGACAAATCATTGTCCAGTTTCTTCTTAAAAACTTCCAATTTGGAGTACCTACAACTTCTGGAGGCAAGTTGTTCCACTGATTAATTCTTCTAACTATCAGGAAATTTCTCCTTGGTTCCAAGTTGCTTCTCTCCTTGATTAGTTTCCATCTATTGCTTCTTGTCCTGCCCTCCGGTGCTTTGGGGAATAGCTTGACTCCCTCTTCTTTGTGGCAGCCCCTCAGATATTGGAACACTGCTATCATGTCACCCCTAGTCCTTCTCATTAAACTAGACATACCCAGTTCCTGCAACCGTTCTTCATATGTTTTACCTTTCAGTCCCCTAATCATTTTTGTTGCTTTTCTCTGCACTCTTTTTAAAGTTTCAACATCTTATAGGAGAGTTATTGTGGGGGGAAATGAAGAAGTCAATGCTCTAAATAGTTCCCTGAGCTCTTGGAAGGAAAGTAGGCTATATATAATACATTTTAATAAACTACCACATCATCCAATGATCCAATGGTTTCCCAGGTCAATTTCCTGTTCCAAATACATTTGAAAAATGTTGTTATTTTGTGTTCAAATGTTCTTTGTGCTTCTCCAAATCTCACTCCTATCATTTAGAGTATTGGAAATCTGATTGCTTTATTGCATCCAGGAAAATAATATCTCCAATTTATGTGAGGATGATCAAACTCAACAATTATCACTGTTATCTTCTTCAGATATATCTCAAATTTCATTTCTCTCTGTATTTGCTACTCAATGGGATTTTCCCATGTATTTTACCAGGAAACTTAGATAAATCTGTCTTGAAAAGTGGCTGACCTCCCAAGCATAATCCGTTGGTGATGTCCATTTTGCTCTCTGAATTCTTGGAGACCTAACCCTAACCCTAGGTGTATTTTCCCCACAAGGTGATTTTCCCATGT